ATATATATATATATATATATCTCGATTACATTGACACTGCAAAATAAAATTGTAGGTATACTTATATAACTGTATATACCTATTTACATACATACATCAGTAATACTTGAATTTTGTATACCTAATATCATAAAACAAGACAGACTCCGTTCAGACAGAAATTGTATTATTGCAATTGCTCTCCGATATAATGTAACAATCCTTTCACGTTGTGAGAATGAAACTTATCTGAATTCTTATCGTTGTATAAATAATGTCTCCTGAAATACTATGCGATCATAAAATAATTTAACTTTTATAACTTGTTTTGCATGTCGAACAGCATAGCAAAATGATTTGTATAAAAAAAATATCGGGAGTTTCAGCTTTAATGCGATTTTGCAATTAATGCAGTAAAGTAACATCACGCATTATTCAGATTTCACATCACCGTGCCGGGTACAAGTATATATCGATATAGGCAATATAGCAGTAAACCATACCAACGCCAACTGCAGACTGCAAAATGCTGTATTATTATATCGCTATATGGTGCTGCAGCTGCTCACTGCTGTAGTGTGAACTTATTAACGAGTGCAAATAGTGCAAATAGTGCAATGCAAAGGCAAAGCAGCTCGCCGAGCAATCAAACATGATTGGTTCTTACTTTTTACTTGTAGATCCAATGAAAATGGTGTTTGAATGCGCGATAGCGCACACCTACAATACACCTATAGTAACTTATAGTAACTTATAGAGTTCCTGCAGGTAGTAGCACCATAGTACTGCCAAGTACTGCCAAGTAGCACCCCGCGGCCTCAGCATTGGGCAGCAATGGCAGCATTGGGTGGCATCATCGGGATGCGCCGCTGATTGGCGGCCATGCGATTTCATGACATTTGCGATTGTCTGCGATTCGATGTCTACCTCAGTCGCTTCTGATCGCCTCGGTTCGCCTTTACTATTGCATAGGTCATATGATTCTGTCAATCGGTCTTATGCAAAATTGACAAGTTGTCAGTGTGCGCCAATTATCATTCTTGTCAGCGATTATCGGGCACGTTCACGTATACGTATATACGTATGCGAGTGAGAGTGAACGGCAGAAAACGCGGCAGTTAACGACGCAGGTTCTCCGTGCTCCGAGAAAATGTCACTTTTTGGAGTAAGCAATCCCTTTTCTACGCAAGTAGGACAAAAGATTGGTAAGTACCTTTTATTATATTCCTCATTTTTTATTGTCGTATTGAATCGAGTGTATATATTTCGCATTTCTCCTCTATTTCTTTGGAGAATTATTAGAGATCCACATTGGTTGACGAGGATTTCTAAAGTGCGTACTTGGAATGCTATTTCACTTTATTTTCGACCAATTTAATTATGATCGATAGAATTGTTGCGTATCAAATATTCTGAATAACAGATCTACACGCTCGTAGCGAGTTGTCGTCGTCGTCATCGTCGTCGTCATCTACAGTCGTCATTAGTGCGATTTTTTCTTTTTTGTCATTTCAGAGTCTGCTACAGATGGTAGCTTACCCAGTGAGAATTGGACGCTTAATATGGAGATATGTGATATTATAAACGAAACTGAGGATGGTCCAAAAGATGCTATTAAAGCTATAAAACGCAGACTCAATCAGGCAGCAGGCAAAAATTATACCATAGTCATGTATACGCTTACCGTTAGTATTATAGACCATAATGATACTGTTTATGTAGAATCATGTACAATATAACAAAATATATCTATAATAGTTTGCTTTAATTGAATACTTGAGTACGCATTAGCCACATGAATTTTTATAACAATAATATAATAAGTAAGTGTCGCTTTAATCAAGTGCCACTTGATGCTTTCTGGTTTGAACAATTTATACAATTAGTGCCGTTGATTGACAATTGTTAATATTATTATAATTATATTTCTAAGTGTACAATGTATTCTTGATCAAATCACTAGGAGAATACTGTAATATTGTGAATATGAGCATATTTATGTTTATTAATTTCTAATCCAAATATCTGTAATATAATATAATTTGTATATAATAGGTATTGGAAACATGTGTGAAAAATTGTGGGAAACGTTTTCATGCTCTTGCTTGTTCGAGAGAGTTTGTGCAAGATTTATTTAAATTAATCGGTCCCAAAAATGAGCCACCGACAGCAGTTCAAGAGAAAGTTTTAAGTTTAATCCAAACTTGGGCAGATACATTCCGTCATCAGCCGCACACTCAAGGTGTTGTGCAAGTTTATCAAGAGTTAAAAATAAAGGGCATACAGTTCCCGATGACTGATCTAGATGCTATGGCACCAATTATTACTCCGGAAAGAGTAAGATGCTATCGGTTGAAATGAAATTATTATATCTGCGCTATCCATATATTTGGTCCATTCGTATCTCTGAAAATAATTTTGTTTCTTTTTGTCAATAATATTTTTATAGAGTGTACCTGAAACAGAGCAAATTCCGGCAAATCTGACTACAAATGAGCAACCCACGTCTTTGGGAACGCAACATTTACCTTCTCAAACACAGTCACAGTCTGGCCAGTTAACTCAATTGAACGAACAGCAATTGGCTAAATTACAAAGTGAACTCGATGTTGTTCAAGGAAATATGCGTGTGTTATCGGAAATGTTGGCATACTTTACAAGTCCAGATCAAAGTTGCAAGCAACAACCAGATTCTGCAGATCTTGAATTATTGAACGTAGGAATCTTTTATATGTGTGTCTCATTAGTTTCTATAAATTTATTGAATAAAGTTTTGTCCCATTTTTTTATTCATGTTTTTAGATTTTTTCTTATTTTTGTAAAATTGTGTTTTGTAAAATTGTTTTGATAAATTCCAATATATAAATTTCATGTTGCAATTCCATGTCTAAACAATTATTTGCAGGAACTTCATTCAACATGTAAAGCAATGCAAGAACGTGTCGTCGATTTAATTGGTAAATTGGCTCACGATGAAATGACAGCAGAACTATTACGCATTAATGATGAATTAAATAATCTCTTTCTTCGTTATACGCGTTATACGAAGAATAAAATGCAAATACCGGCGAGCACTATATTAGCCCAGACAATTGCACAACCACCGAATACTGAATCAATTCAAACTCTTACTAAACGAGAAGCGGAGTCACTTATAGATTTATCTGATGATGTGGATAATTTAACAAAACAAATGAATGAACTCGGTAAGTTAAAGTTGCATTAATCTAATGTAAAATTGCAGTGCAAAATTGTATTAAATATTATTAAAAAAGTGCTGTTTCTATATATTTCTCATATATTTTTTCTGTATCACGTTCGTATGAATTTTTTCTCAAGATTGATACTATTCTATCGTCGATTTTAAATATTAGATGCGGCTGAAGGTGTAGACAAAAATGCAAAACAAAAGGAGAAAAAAGAAGGAGATAGTGATGAATTTGATATGTTTGCACAATCACGTAATGCAACGTATGAAACAACAAAAAATAGGTATTGTATATTAGATTGTGATTAATTATAAAATTTTATCATTCATAATAACAGAAAT